CGTGCTGAGCGGGGAGCTGCCGCCCGCCATGGGCAAGACGGCGCTGTTCTACCACAGCGGGGGCAGCAGCGGCTACGAGAGCATGATGCGTGACAGCGAGGCCACAGGCAGCGCGTCCTCTACCCAGGACTCCATGAGCGAGAACAGCAGCTCCGTGGGCGGGCGGTGCCGGAGCCTCAAGACCCCAAAGAAACGCTCCAATTCAGGTAGGCACCTGGGCCCGGTGTGCAGAGGGGCTACGGGGGCACAGGGGGCAAAGAGGGGCGCAGGGCCGGACCCCATGCCGCCTGCCCTGCGGGTGGTGAGGGTGCCCAGGCCAGTGGTACCGACACCTGGTCTCTCCTTCCCCAAGCCTGTCCCCTGCCGGCCGCACCCGGGACAGCATGGAGGGTTCACTGTGACTCAGACCTACTGTTGGGGTGTGACGAGGCCTCAAGGCTGTGACTGCCCCTGGGCAGCAGCCTGGTGAAAGGCGGGAGCTGGGGCAACCAGCGGTGCCCCCCACACTCACCCCTGTGGGCACAGGCTGCCTGTCCCTCCCCGGCTCCCCCACCCAGCGTCCAGGCCCAGGAATGTGGCTGCTGGAGCCGCAGGGAGCAGTCAGAGCCGCTACGCTCTGACCGGTGGCTGCAGAAGCTGGTGTGGGGCTGGTGGCCCCAAGTCTCTGGGACTGGGGTGAGTCACTGTCACTGAACGTGCAGTCTGGTGGTCAGAGCCCTGCGTGGCGTTGGTCACGTGGCCGTGGGTGTGGGCACTGAGTGTGGCAGATGCTTTGTGCTTTCACTGGCCTGACGTGGTGGCGCGGCTCATGCTCTGTGCGGTCACTCAGACGGACTCCTCTGTCCTCTTACCTCTGACGTCTGTGGTTCCTTCCCTCGCTGGGGCCTCATGCTTTTTGATTCGTGTCTTGCTAGCCCCACACCTGAGTCAGAGGGAAGATGGGGAGGGGGGGCTGAGGAGGGGGCCCTCGGGGCCCGGACCGACGAGCGTTCCCCGGGGCTGTGAGGCCTCGCGCCCAGGTCCGTGTTCCCGACATTTGAATAAGAGGCCAAGTTTTCAGAATCCGTGTGGCTCTTCTGTCTGGACTCTGATGTTGAACATGTCAGACTTCTCCCGGGGCCGCATGCGGCAGGGGAGAGAGTGGCTGTGAGCGGTCAGGGCCCCTCTGTGCGTGTGGTCAGCCACCAGGGCTACAGGGACTCAGTCCCTGTTAGGAGCAGGCTTTCTCAGGTCAGATCTGGGCCATTCCAGGCAGCAACAGCTCGTGCAGTTAGTGATCAGCCTGCACGCCTTCCCTACCTGCCCTCTGTGCTGGGCGGGCGCGGGCTGGGCGCGGGCTGGGCTGACAAGCAGGGAGGGACGGAGGAGGAGGGACCCAGCGG